ATGCAAGATGGGGGAGGAAAAAACAACGAAAAATGGCAGGGAGCAAGTTCAAACGACGGCTTTGCTGGACCTGCTGGTGATATACAATTCTATACATTATATTTTTCTAAATAGTAATGTGGCTTTCTTGGTTTTTTTTTATCTGGGGTACAGTCTATTGACATGACCTCGGCCAACTGACCTGACCTCGACCTACTGACCTGACCTCGGTCTACTGACATGGACTCGGCATACTGACGTGACCTTGGGTTACTCACGTGACCAAAGCCTGCTGACGTGACCTAGGCGTTCTGACATGACCTCGGCCTACTGACAGGAACTCGGCCTACTGACGTGACATCGTCCTACCGACGTGATCTCGGCCATCTGACCTGACCTTAGCTTACTGACGTGACGCCGGCGTATTGACATTAACCATGGTCTTAGCTTTGCTTAATTTCAATCCATAAAGGTCCCAACAAATTTTCAGGTTAGCAAACGAAACGGCCGACACCTAAATAAGTAACAGCAGTGTAAAATTGTCAAAGTTTAATAAGAAAATAACAGTCACTGAAGTTTTAAGAATTGTTCCGATGAATTTTTTTTGAAGATGTTTTCAATTTATTGTCTAGAACTCTGCATAATTAGAAAATAATCATGCGGCCTTCGGCACAAAAATGGGGTCTAATGAGCCGAGGTAGTCAAGAACTGTACTAATGTCCCCCCTTCACTCGTCTCATATCAGGAGTTGGCGAAACTGGCCACTGGTCAGGACAGATCATCCTATGTACCCAACTAGCAAATATATATATTGTTTTATCCAACGTAAAACGAAGTATTCCCCAATGTTACTGTGTTTAAGGCGGGCGCCAGTGGTGAGCAAAGTGCCGACGTCCATGAGGAGGTGCTGTTTCAACACAAGCCCGCCACCCAAAGGTTCCACCCCTGACTACACGAGCATCAGTGAAACGGAGGACTTTAGGTAATAACGAAATATCTTTTCTCGGCGGCCAGTAGGGGGTGCTAGGGTCAGTGACACCCATGGTGGGCTAAACAAAAAAAATGTATTTCTCGGCAATTAAGGATTTTGTTGAAGTGTTGAAAAGGGGGAGAAAAATATTGCCAGAAATATAACGAATAAATTAATTCTGGTGTAAAATAAAATATTATATATATATACTGTTTTGGTTGGTTGGGTAGGGGGGTGTTTAATATGATTAGTTAAGATTTGTAAAGTGGAGAAACTCCTTCAGTATCTTAAATTTGAACCTGATCGTTGTTCATGATTGGTTGAATTTTTCGCCAAACCTGTCGAAACATACCTTTGAATTATAATAATCATAGCGCCTGCTTATATTATGGTCGTAGAATTCAGCTTTACCTACCAATACCAATGACTTTTTGTTCCTCCCTTCACCCCAAGGTTGACAGGCGATCTGCGGTCCACGTGCTCCACGAATGGGAGCATCCGGGTCCCGCTGATTAAACAACAGCTCACGGAGGCCGATCGAGAACTGCTGTCTTTGCACATCAGGGGAAGCAACACAGCGGCGGACACGGTCTGAACAACGCAGCATTTTATTCCAGAACTATCTCTCTTGATGAAACTTCAGAGAAAACCTGCAAAAAAACTTTTAACAAAATAATTTAAAAAAAAAAAAACAGTTATCATGTGAATATCAACCAGTAAAACCAAAAAAGTCTTAACGGTTGAGGTAAAGTTTGGACATTTGCTTACAAAAAAAAAGAAGAACGATCTAAAGTGCCTGGATACGTTCATCAGTGTATCATTGCCATGTTGCTGAAAGAAACATTTCCAATTCCACGGTTTACGAAAACAGAAATTTATAACAAAAATATAACGATGGCCAAAAATAATTGGAAGCTGAGGCACGTTCGAAACCAAACCTCTGACACTCCATTTGAGAGGATTTGGATTCGCTCTTCGATGCACGCGTCGGCTTACTTGACTTTGGATTGTTATTGCCGACTGGATCACGAGTTGGTCTCTTAAGAGTGTTGTGATAAACTAAATCATGGGACTGTCAGTTTCTGTCCCGACTGCTCCTGGGATGTTCGTAAGTTAACTGTAGGAATACACGTAAAAACACACACGCACGCAAGAGGTGTTTAACCTTTGTGGACACCAGAATTGGTGGGCGGTCGTACGCGCGGGTTTCTCGGTATATAGCCATACTTATAATAAGATCTGAAGAGTATCTAAGGAGTTGGAGCTTGCTCCAGACGTGAATGATTTCATTACTCTCACCAGACAGCAGGGGGCTTCGTGATTCCACCTCTCTCTCTCCTGTCTCACCACCCCAACGCAGCCACGAATGGCGCATGCTGCTTCGCGGGAAGTCTGGCAGAGATAGGAGGATTTGGATCTTACTTCATTACCAACGTCACCAAGAGCTGAAAGCGATTGCGGTTGGACATCCACAGCGCCCGTTAAGGGGGATTCCTTTAACGGAACCTGACGATGTCCCGTCTCGGAACATGGTGTTGTTCCCGTCCGAGAACCTGGCGATGTTCCCACTAGGGAATTTTTTTGATGTCCTGTCAAGGAATTTGTGATGTTCCTTTCAGGAAACTTGGTGATATCTCGTCGCAGAACTTGGTGATGGCCCGTCATGGAACAACAGCCGCCAAACCTTGCAAACTGCACATCTCCCCCCCCCCCCTCAAAATACTTTTTCCCTTAAGACCACAAGGGACATAAATCAACCAATACCGCCATAAAGAGACGGATTTCGTGATACACTTTCATATCTCTTTATAAGACCTTGACATTGGGCAGTTGCGTTCAGGCCGTCAATGTTTATATTGTGATTTTTTTCTTTTCCTCCAGGATTACGGGCTGTGATAATCGCAACGATCTGGCGTTGATAATCCTGCGTTGCAAAATAACTGATAACAGAGAAATCGATAATTCGGGAAATACGCCTTGACGTCATTATGCTGTTCATCCTCAACCTTTGTGGTCACTTTATTTGTCGTTATTTTTTTTAATCTGTGTCCTTGTGTACCATTTGGCTTATGCGGTTATTTTGATTCATTGATTGTACACATAAGACCATTCATGAAGATTTCAATTGTACAACATATGTGTTTATCCTCACATGGTTAAATTAGGTGTATCTATCTCTTCCCCGTATTGCTGCTAGCGAGTTTGTTATAGCTTAGTTGTCATCAATGGCATGGTGTGTTTTTTTAATCAAATAAACACCAGAAAGTCCAATTAAGGAACACAGGAAAAAAACAACAACATGATTTATTCCTGCAGGAATAGAAATATTTGACCCTTCAGCCCCTTGGTCAGTTTGAGACTTTTTTAGGGGCCCTGTGCACCGGATTCTTCAGTTCTCACCCACCACCAGCCAGTATCAATGTATTCAGATCGCACCCCCTTGTCCAGATAGTGTACGTTCATCTTGATTTAGCCAACAGAGTCAAAAGTGTTTTGTCATTTCTTCAGAGAGCTAAATAGAAAAAGCATCACTTCGTTTAGGAATCGTTAAGTAAGTGTCATCCTTGCTACATCGATTGCATGTCACAGACAGTAACTACAAGTAAAAATATCACCTTATTATGTTTCAATGGTGCTACTGGTGAATCTTTTTAATGTCACATTAATTGTCAGGTTGTGCCTGGTGAAAGCCTCAATCAGTGTCTCTGATGAAAGCCTTCTTTAGTGTCTGGATGCAAGCCTACTTCATTTTCTCTGATGAAAGCCTTCTTCAGTGTCTCTGATGAAAGTCTCCTTCAGTGTCTCTGATGAAAGCCTTCTTTAGTGTCTCTGGTGAAAGCCTCCTTTGGTGTCTCTGATGAAAGCCTCCTTTGGTGTCTCTGATGAAAGTCTCCTTCAGTGTCTCTGGTGAAAGCCTCAATCAGTGTCTCTGATGAAAGCCTACTTCACTTTCTCTGATGAAAGCCTTCTTCAGTGTCTCTGATGAAAGCCTACTTCACTTTCTCTGATGAAAGCCTTCTTCAGTGTCTCTGATGAAAGCCTACTTCACTTTCTCTGATGAAAGCCTTCTTTAGTGTCTCTGATGAAAGCCTACTTCACTTTCTCTGATGAAAGCCTTCTTCAGTGTCTCTGATGAAAGCCTCCTTCGGTGTCTCTGATGAAAGCCTCAATCAGTGTCTCTGTTGAAAGCCTCAATCAGTGTCTCTGTTGAAAGCCTCAATCAGTGTCTCTGTTGAAAGCCTCAATCAGTTTCTCTGTTGAAAGCCTCATTCAGTGTCTAATTGCACATTCTTAGTGTTGTTCGACTTGATCACCTGATGAAAGCTTTTTTCACCTACTATCTTCATGTGTTAACCCTTTGAATCAAATAACTTCTAATTTGGGGAAGTTTTAGTCCCCTCCCACAAAAAAAAAAAAAAAACGAAAAAAAACCACGATGGTCTTTTTTGAAGTCAGGTCGAGTCCTCGGAGAAATCCCCCCCTCTCCCCACGGGTCCCTAAAAAGTATAATTCTATTACTTGGCAAATGAAAAGTACACGAATGCTGTTCCCCCGCTTCTCTGAAAGGACTAATCACCCACCCCACAACCCCCCCCCCCCAAAACGTTGTTCAAAAGGATTGTTGGCCCACGCTCCTTACTCTGTGGAGATGATTTTTATAGTTCACCCCCACCCCCACCCATACACGCAGTGGCGTAGCGAGGGTGTTTGGCACCCGGGAACAAGATTCATTTTTAGCGCACCTTTTTCTTCTTTTCAACTCTCAAACCCATTATTTTCATCAATAATATAACATCAAAGCACATTTTGGCGCCCCTAACTAGCAGGCGCCCGGGGACATCTGTCCCCCCTGCCCCCACCACGCTACGGCTCTGCATACACGTGTGTGGCTTTCAAACAATTCCATTGCACCCATTTAGTCTAAGATATTGAAATGTAGTCTTGAGTGATTTGGGAAAGGGGGGGGGGGGTAAAAGAATCAAAAACTAGACGTTTTAACATTGTCAAACAAGGCTTTAAAAAAAAACAACACTTTAACAAGTAGTTCGTCTTTGTTACATAGATTTTATTATATATGGTGACTTATAATAAAAAAAATAGTGTACATGTTCTGCTTTGATATGTTATATTATAAGAGCTTTGTAAGTTAATTCAAATATATTTACTCATATGTAAATATATATAAATGTATGTATATATATATTATGTATTATAATGATAAAACACCTTCACCCTCAGTTTATGAAATTCTCAGTCAGACAAACCAATTTAACTCACACATCCATTATTTCTCTGGCCTCCATCACATCGGCAGTCACCCCCCATGCATTATATAGGCACCTTTAAACAACTAATACAATTTCCTGTTCAGTGAACATGTCAAACAATTGAATTAGCAAGGCCCATGACATGTTGTAAGAGGCCCCAAACGAGTGTTTCTCAACATTTTTATTCTTGAGGGTCACCCCTCAAGTTGAGAAACACTGGGGCCTAGCACTTCCATTGGACAGTATTTATATCCAAGTATTCCAACAACAACAATGAAAGACGGGCATCATGTTTACAAACAAAGGCGTACTCATTAGGAGCTTCTTAATGTCCCTGTGTGTTTGTTTTTTTAAATTGTTTTAAATTTCAACATAAGTATGGATAACTGATACTGAGAATGGCCAAAAGTAGGTCAGTTGAAACATGTCTGACTTGGATTAGACTATCATTTTAATTTTTTTTACAAATTTCCTCTGCCCAAGATTGGTATGTTCACAAAGTTGCTTGTTTTAATTTATAAGCCAGTAAATTATTGCACATATTTTTGTATTGTAAGTGTTTAATGGAAATGGCTTTAAATGTAAAATAATCTCTCATTGATTCATAGTAACAATACATCTGGTATGTCAGTGGATTCAACGTTTTTTTAATGGGTGCTACCCCCTTGACACACTACTTTACACTAAGGCCCTGTATCACCATTGTAAACAAGACACAATGGTTGAGACCCCTTGAGACTAGTTTTGAGGGTGGTCATGACCCCCCCCTCCCCCCTCCAGGTTCCACATTATTGAGCATTATGAGCAAGCATGTCCCACTTGAGCACGGCATATATTTATATCTATCTACAGATATATATTCAGTATATTTATGTGTCATTTAAACAGAACTGGTCGACCAAATGATGACCAGGAGTTCAAAAATTAACTTAAAACAAAATGAAATGCCCCACAGCCTTATAACGGAACAGGAAACTTTGTTACATTAAATGTACACAAACATGATGTGTAATGCATTCTCTGTTATGTCTTATTTCTTTTCAAATAATCGGTTACGTAGAAAACAAAATTTGCTTTCTAAACAACAGACCTGACTGATAAAACGCTTTGTCCAATTTTTCCAGATCTTGCTGTACAATTTATGGGTTGCAAGGAAGTCTCAAACTTGCCGACATAAGGTACAAACTTGCAGATGCAAGGTACAAACTTGCCGATGCAAGGTACAAACTTGCTGACGCAAGGTACAAACTTGCCGATGCAAGGTACAAACTTGCCGATGCAAGGTACAAACTTGCCAACAGAAGGCACAAGAAACTGTTAAAAAAGTCTGCTCCAGTTTTTTTTTACTTCCTTACATTACTTGTAGGACAACATGTACAAATGTGGGAAGGTGGATGTGGTCAGTGTAAGAGTTTGCCAACTTGTCCGATGTCCGAGGATGGCACCTTTTGTTTACCCCAATGATTTCATGTTCATGACAATGTACTTTTTGTAAAACAATGGCTTTATGAGGAATGATATAAATTAACATTACCCTGTGGCTTTGTATTGGTCAAGTTTTTGTTTGTAGAATATGATAATAATTGGAATATAACCATGGGAAAAATGACAGAAAGCAAAAAGGCTGACATGACATCAGAGCAAAAAAAAAATAATTAAAAAGCCAACTGACTGTTGGCCACCTAAAAAATTTCAACTATAAGGTCAGTAGAATTGAAACAAATATTTGACTTTTTAAAAATTCCTTTCTCCAACATTTTCATTAAATGAATAATAATTTTTTTTTTATTTCCACACAGTGAAATTAACATTTCTAAGAAATTTCAACTTTTTATTTATCAGCCTGTCAAAAATCAGAAAACAATGGATCAACCACAGTGAGTCAATGACACTGAAAAAATTATAATTTCGCCCAAGTTGAAAAATAAAATAAATAAATAAAAAAATAATTTATTCACAGACCTCAGAGCATTACAAATTTATAAATTAATAAATTAAACTTGGTATATTCTGTGATGTCAATTTGGTCGGCTCCCATAAAAAAATCATTCTAACTACATTCAACTATACAGCAATAAGTATCACATAATTTTTTTTTTCCAGTTAAAACTTAAGTCCGAAACGAAAAATGTGTGTTAATCCTGTTTAAAGCAATCTTCAAAAGGTAAAAAAACAGGCAAGTGGATCAGATACGAAAACAAAAAAAAACAACTTTATAATCAGGGCGGTGAGGTAGGAGATAATTATTTCAAGCTAAATTAAAAATTAAGAGCAGGTAAAATGAACTAATTACACAGATTTTTTTTTTTAAAATTTATCTAGAAATTGTTTTTTTAAAGTCTGACCCTTGAACTGTGACCAAACAGCTCCTCTTCAAAAAAAAAAAAATGAACCCAGTTGCATTTATGCTTTATAAATCACAAAGACATAGAATGTACTATTACACAGATTTTTTTTTTTAAAATTTATCTAGAAATTGTTTTTTTAAAGTCTGACCCTTGAACTGTGACCAAACAGCTCCTCTTCAAAAAAAAAAAAATGAACCCAGTTGCAGTTATGCTTGAGAAATCTCAAAGACTTAGAATGTACCATCAGGGTTGATGGTCACTACTCTGTTTTCTACTCTGGCTTTCTCTGCAGCGAACACAAGTAGATGGCTGTTGAGTGTTTCCTCTGGTCCTGTGACAACCATCTCTCCCTTGCCCTACATAAGTGCAAACAAAAATTTAAAAATTTGATGCCATTTGACTGAAAAGGAGACAGTGTTGATCCTATTTAAGATAGGAAGCGTCATGATGCATCTCCAGGCACAAGGAATCTTTTTATTTTGTTTCCTTTCATTGGTAGAAAATGAAGCTGACTTTTTTTGTTGTCTGAAACCTTTGACTATAAATAGTAACTCCTTTTAGAAGGATAGTAAACATCACTTTTTGTTTATACGCTGAATCAAAAGTCAATTATCTTTCAATAACCAGACCACACGACTTTGAAACTGGTTCCAGAGAATACAGTAATGTTTTTGTCGCTTGAAAAGTCTAAAATAACTGCATTACAGGGCAAGTAGGTGGTTGGGGAAAGTGAATCACTATTATTATTGGCCATCCGGATCTATTTTTAGGTAAACTATCTTGTACATGGGCGTACAGTGTAACTAATTTTCCTTTCATAGCATTAAATTCATTTATGGCTTTTGGGGAATGCTCCCACTAAAATAAGCAGGTAAGAGGATTAACAAGGGCGTCTAGTTCTTGGCACAAAGCAAAATCATAATGCTCTTGTATAATGCTGCAAAATTTGATGCATTGCAGTTCTTGAGAAGACCTGTAATATTCTGTGTCACTCAGTTTTGTAGAAGGAATAAGTGACACATGTCAATTTACATTCTGTCCCAAATCTTGAAGCCTACTTACCTCTCAGCCATGGCAAAGCACTTCCCATCTAGCCATGGCAAAGCACTTCCTATCTAGCCATGGCAAAGCACTTCCTATCTAGTCATGGAAAGCACTTCCTATCTAGCCATGGCAAAGCACTTCCCATCTAGCCATGGCAAAGCACTTCCCATCTAGCCATGGCAAAGCACTTCCCATCTAGCCATGGCAAAGAACTTCCCATCTAGAAATGGCAAAGCACTTCCTATCTAGCCATGGCAAAGCACTTCCTATCTAGCCATGGCACACTAGTTATGAAACAAAGTAGTTCTAGTGTTGTGTAATATAGCGGGGAGGGGGGAAAGGTGGGGAGGGGGGAGAAGAAAGACAACTGCATTCAAGCACTGTAAAGTAAATTAATAGTGGAACAAGATAATAGACTGAAAGAACTACATTCAGATCTTTAAAAACAAAGTTTTTTAAATCTGCAATCCTTCATTGTTTCTCGTCTTGTCTGCTACAGAAGGCATTCGGCCGAAATAATACTTTTAATGGTCCAGTCTTTTTTTTTTCAAGCCCTGACATATCATTTTCCACCATTTCTCTAGTATTGTTACCAGCGTTGTTCCACATCACAGCATCAAGGAAGCTCATGTAGTACAACCTCACCCCTAGTGTGTTTAAGAAATTCTTGCATCAGGTATAAATTAAGCCCTAACTTTTTATCTAGCACTGTAACCTATATCCCATTGAGCCACATCACACCAGCAAGGAATCTCAATCTCTAGTACTAAAAACTCACCCCCAGTGTGTTGATGAAAGCTTGCATCAGGTGGAAATCAGCCCCTCCATGCCCACCCATCTGATTAGGGTGGCCGCTGGTAATATTGTGATGAGCTGGAAGGGAAAGAAACAAGACAGATTCACAGGCGGCAGTCAACAGGGTGATGCCTCCCTAAAGTTTAAAAAGGTAACAGTCCAATGGTGTGGACTGATTGTGGTTATGGCACAGCTGTTCTGAAAATTTGAGACCATATTCTGAGTAAGTCTATGCCAGGACCCATAAAAATGAGGTGAAATACATTTCTATTTATTTGAAATGCTAAATTATGAACAATGTAATGTAAGACACTTGTACTGCGGCAAGGGCTTGGGCTCACTCCCAAGTTCATATAAGTCAACAGCTATGGGTCTAGGAGACTGCAGTAGTCACCCACACAAATTGTGAGCAAAAAACTTGCCAGAAGTGAAGCTCACTTGTCAGGGACATGCCGGACTATAACAGATAATTTTAGTCACAAATAAAAAAAAAAGAAACAGGGAGATGATTTAACAACTTACTGGTTTGTTGTGTGAGAAAATCAAACACCTGGACATCTTTCCAGCCGTCCTCAAACGCTATCTCCCCCTTGGTGCCGTAAATCTTAACCTCTCTGGCACAAAGACGTTTCGTGAAGGCGACCATGTTGAAACAAACTGTGGCTCCATCCTCAAATTGAAAGTTAACAACCTTTAAAAAAAAATATATATACATTTTAAAATCTTGAAATAAATTTGGATTGGGAACGGCATTCAAATCAAAATCCAAGTTTACCATTGGATAATTGCTTCCTGCAATATGAGAGGGTTTTCGACAATGGTCAATAATATAAATTATTCCTGTTTCCGATATAATGTCAACAAAAAGGCCACTGAAGTTAGTGTCTTGTGAAAAATTTGAGATCAGCCGTTCCCAATGTTTTTTTTATGCCCTACAACTTGATTAGACTTTTCATTTATGAGTACCCCCTGCCCGCCCCCCCCCCTTTTTTTTTTCCCCCTTAACTCCACTCATCCCCAACCCCCCACAAAAAAATTGTGAAAAATTTGGGATCAGCCGTTCCCAATTTTTTTTTTTTGCCCTACAACTTGATTAGACTTTTCCTTTTTGAGTACCCCCTGCCCGCCCCCCCCCCTTTTTTTTTTCCCCCTTAACTCCACTCATCCCCAACCCCCCACAAAAAAAAAGGATTAAAAAATAGATTGGCTAAATAATCCAATGAAACAGTTCAAGCTAATGAAACTTTAATGCTCATATTCTCTATTCTTTTACAAATAATGGAGCTAAAAAGAATGTCAAAAGTTAACATTGCAATGAAAACTTATAAAACAGGAGAGAGAAAAACAACATTAACTATCAACATCAAAGTTTAATACAAAGAATGTGGTGAACAACAAGGTGGCGTTCTCGTTATTAATTTTATTTGATAAAATATTTTTATGGATAGTTTTTGCATTTAAAAGACTCGCAAGATTTTGAAAAGAAATATTGCTTCTTGTAAATGAACCGGTGCAATAAAAAAAAACTAAAAAACTTCTTAGCAATTGTTAAGATAATTTTTGCGTCCCCCCAAGTGGCCTACCAGTAAAAATGTACCCCCAGGGGTACATGTACCCACGGGGGTACGTGCACCACAGGTTGGGAACTTCTGTTCTAGATGAAATGCTCCGAATAGTGGTATAGACATTAAAAAGAGCAAACATAATAATAATAATAATAATAATAAGTGGTCTTATATAGCGCGGTACCCCGGCCTAGGGCTGGGCTCACCGCGCTGTACATATATAGCAAAGAGGCATAATCATAATATTAAAATAAAATACATAAATGAAATAAAAACAACATATAAGCAAAACAACACCATAGGTATATTCACCCACCCACACCAGACATTTTTACAAGGAAACCCATGTACGTTTATCGGTTTATAGGAGGAGAATCAGTCAGAGTAGTATAGTTTAAATAGATGTGTTTTGAGTGCAGTTTTGAAGGCCTGTGTGGTTGTTATATTGCGGATGTGTAGTGGCAAAGAATTCCATTGTTTGGGGGCGCAGAAAGAGAAAGATCGTTCACCATATAATTTAGTGCGTGTCTTGGGAACGGACAGAATACGCGAGTCTGCGGAGGAGCGAAGTTGTCGAAGGGGTGAATAGACAGAAAGAAGTTCAGTTAGATAGGAAGGGCAGGAATCCGAGAAAAAGTTGTGACAGAGAAGAGACAGCTTGTAGTCAATGCGTGCCTGTATAGGGAGCCAATGTAGTGAGTGGAGTAGTGGAGTGACGTGCTCGCGTTTTTTTGCCTTAAGAACAAGCCTAGCAGCAGAGTTTTGAACTTTCTGCAGTTTTTCTATAAAATGTTTCTATAAAACATTAACAATTATCATATGGTGAACACATACAAGTGCCCAACACTTACTACTGAGTGTAAAAAAAAATTGTTCACTGACTCAAATAAATAAAGCATTGAGCTTACCTGGTGAGAAACGACATCATTATCTGTATCATAAACACATTTTCCATAGGGTCCTGTGCTTAAGGCTTCTGTGACATTTTCTATGTCAGGTATATCACTTATGACACTGACAGGCCATCCCTTGTGCCCCTGTAATGATTTTTAAAAAAAGGAAAAGATAACATGCCATTGTTGTCATCAGATTGATCAGGTAGCAAGTAGAACTAAATTTGAACGGAAGGGACACACAACTCAGGCTGACAATACCTTGGGGAGATTATTTAACTGAAAATTTAAGTGCACATCAACTTCATCCCCCATTGTTGCAGACTTAGGAAAGACTTAAAGAGGTAATCCTAGGTGAAGACAACCCTTAAATTCAAGGGAACAGATTTCTATAGAAATAAAATAACTTTTATGATAAAGCATGCCATCCCGAACACTTCATAATTTTAAAAAAGTTACAATACTAACTTACGAAGCAGAAAACTAAATTTCAACAGCAATAAAAAAACATATAAATGCTTACAGAATTTAGGTCTTCTAGGAAATCTAGATCAAAGTTACAAAGGTTACATATTTTTTAAAAAATTGAACAACAAAAATGGATAACTTTCAGGCTCCATCTGATAAAAGAGAATTTTTTTTTTCCCTCATTTTTAACATACCTCTTTGACTCTTCCAAGATAAAGTCTCTTTGCTGAATAAGGACAAGTTGACTCCACTGAGCAGTCCAAGCACCTTGAGCCGGCACCTGCAGGCTGAAACAGAAAAATGAATGATGTTGAGGCACGAAAAAGTTGTGTAAATAAAACAAAATATATTATATTTCAAACTTTAATTATGAATAGACAAAATACAAATTCAAACGCTTGGGCAAATGCCTTCATCAGTACAACAAAAAAATGTATTTGAGTAGCATGAGTAGCATCAATTAAATGTATATAATATCATACATATATATCCTACCTATACCTAAAAATGAAAGTCCCTAAGGCAAACAAAGAAAAACTGAAAGAAAGTGGGTGAAAGTTCAATTTAAAAACCAAACAGGAAAAATAAAACATTGCAGTTATTGTAAAATTGTGAACTCATAAAATTGTGAACTTGGTTTATAACATACGGTGGTAAAGTACCCAATCTTTTTATTCGTTTATTATCCATATAAATTCTATCAGGTGTATCACTCGCATAACTATGAACTGCAATGTCGAATATTCCATTATATTTGGCATTACTCAAATGTTTAGAAACGGGACAACTGGCTTTTCACTGATGTTCTCTAAAATGGTTTCAAAGACGATGACCTGTCTCCCCAACATACTATTTTCTGCACTTTTTACAAAGGGTCGTGTAAATCACTGTAACAGACCAAGTTAATTATGATTTTTACACACGACCCTAACATTCATTCTCACGACATGATGGCATAGTAATTTTATCAGAACGATGTGGATCACGAAAATAGCGGGAACTACTTTCTAGAGTGGAGAAAAAATACACCTTGCGTAGGGAAGTGCATGATTGGTTCTTGAATGTGGCGGACATGTTTAATTATTTCTCATATGGATTATTAAAGTATTATCTGATGGAATATTGTGGAACTTGTGTGTATTTATTCATTGCATCCTATCATTGTCACTAGGATATACTCATAGCAATATTTATTATTCAACTCATCTATTTTATGTAATAAAGTACTGTATAAATTATTCATTGGACGTTATTACTTCTTGAGTGACAGAGGAACAGATTCAGATGAATTCATTATTCAAATAATAGCGGCAAGCCATCTATTACACTGAGTTTAAGTATTAGTTAACAATGTTACCACAAAGGAGTGTTATATCTATAATATAAACATTGTTACAATCATGTTGCGATTTGTGCAAGTAAAGCCATTTTTTATGGTGAATATTTCCAGGAAGGAGTGATCAACATATATATGTGCTTTAATAGCTGTGAGGTGGCTTCTAACAAGCATGTCCCTAAGGCTCTTGTCCCTCCAAAAAGATCAAGTTTCTTGATTATCTGATTGGTGACGGGATCTGCCATTAAGGATGGACTTTTTTTTAAATTAGTAACCATATTTTACGGACTATGAGACGCTACGGACTATAAGATGCAGCTTAACTTTAAGCAATTTAAAAAAAATTTTTTTTTACCATTTTTATATTAATTTCGAGTATAAGACGCACCTGAATTTTAGAGGCAATTTTTTGAAGATAAAAGTGCGTCTAATAGTCCGTATTATTCGGTAATTAAATATTGATTTTTTTGGTTGGTCCCCTCAGTTCAGTCCAGCTATTATTTAAGGATGTTTGTACATTAAGGGAGATTAAAAATAAAACAGGATAACAAATTATGAAAATTTCCTCTTGAACAAATTTGGATAAAAAATAGTTCTCTAAAATTAAAAATAACTTTTAGGCTTGAAAAGAAATGGTGTTTGAAAAAATAGTAAATACTTGGGAATAAAGTTTATTATGCCACGGTGAACATTTGATGAAATATTAACATTGTGAGAATTTCTTCCCCATGAGAAAGGTAGGCAGTTATAGCTAACCTGTACTGATAAATGATTTACACACTGATTTCATATAACTTTTGTGTCAAAGTGTTTTGTGACAAAATTTTATTGTAAATGTTTGGCAAAATGGGTTAAATAAGATGTATGATGTCCAGGCAAAAGAAGTTAAATAAAACTGTTCTTACGACCAGAGTGCCCCAACTATTGCCGTGACTGTTGGTGTAAAATGGGCCAAGACAGTGACACAACTATTACCGTGTCTGTGGATGTAGAATGGTTCAAGACAGTGACACAAGAATTACCTTGTCTGTGAGTGTAAAATGGGTCAGTTTACCAAAGGAAGACACACTGACACATTTCCGTGGAGACATCCAGTAATTAATAAGGTCCACATCGTGGCAACATTTGGACATGAGGCTAAATGTGCTCGTCCTTTCATTTCGCCAGTTCCCTCGCACGAACGAATGGGCAAAGTGCCAATAGCCTACCTGAAAAAAAAATCATTGCCAATCGTTATGATTATATTTCATTTTTACCTTATCTTTCTTGGTGAAATGTGACAGCTTGCCAAATGACGAGACACTGACACACCTTTGGGGCAACATCCAGTAGTTAATCAAGTCCAGGTCATGACAAGATTTGGCCATGAGGCTGAACGTGCTGGTTCCTTCTTTGCGCCAGTTACCCCTAACATAGGAGTGGGCGAAATGCCAAAAACCAACCTGTTCATATATGAAAGCTTGTAAGAGCATGATCATTTAAAAAAAAAAATCCTATTACACAAAAAAATTGTTTCAGTGAACCATTCTAAAGTCAGGCTTGAGATTCAATAACGTCAGCATGTGATGCATTTTAAAATGGTGTTTGTAGATCAATGTTGCTCACAATGAGAATGAAACATAATGGTCATTGATATTTCTCCCCCAAGCACTAGGTTTTTGAACACCCGAAAACCCCCCCCCCCCCCCCCACCTCACTTACTGGTTCTGTGTGTCTAATGCTGACCACATCTCCTATCTGACCAGACGTGATGATCTCCTTGATCTTGTTCACCCATGCAGTATAGCGTAGAACATGGCCCACTGCCAGCTTAACATTGTGCTCTCTGCAAACATCTACAATTTCTCTACAGTCCTTCTCTGTGACCTGATCAATATAAAAAAATTACCGAAAAAGTTAATCAGTATCTGAATGATCAGGTGATGATTCCCACTAGTAAAACACTTAATCACATGGGAAAACTCCGCTGCCATTTTTATTTTACATTTAGCTTAGAGCTAACACATAAAGTGATTGGGTTTTTTTTATATTTTTTTTTTTTACATTTTTATATTATTGTATTTAAAAAAAGCGTCATCCCAAGTTTTAAGCCACGATTTACAATCATTGTAAACAAACAAATTGGTTTTCCTTATATAAAAATAAAGTTGGAGCAAACCTTGTTTTAACAAAAAGAATTTTTTTTTCTTCAAATGAGCAGTTTAAATAGAATAACATTTCCTAGGTTTGGCCTGATGGCTGGCTGTTGAATGCTGCTTTAGATTATTATAAAATATTTCACTTAATAAATAGTTCAGAGATGAATAAACAATGATATTATACACAAAATAAAAAAAGGTGGTGATTACTTACAGCCATTGGTTTCTCCAGCAGAATATGATACCCAAGCCTTGCGAAGGCAACAGCTGGATCCTATTGAGGAAAATAAAGGAAAAGATAATAAAACATATGAGAAAAGTTATTGTTTTCCTAAAGTGAAACAGAAAATATGCATAGTGAGGTTTTTATTATAATTGGTTTAACATTTTTTTAAAAATATATATTATATATTTTGTAATTGATAGATTGCTGTTACCTTATGGTCCTGATCAACAGTTGCTATGATAACAAAATCTGCAAACTTCTCCTGTTTCGCAGCATCTCTCCAGTCTAACAATAACAATGGCAATTGAAGCATCTGTTTTAATTATTATCGGTAATTCCAAGAATTTAACTAAAATTAAATACACCCATTAAAAAAATAAATCACTTTTTACCCCACTAAGTGCTTATGACCTCAGTAGGCTATTTTTGCCCTGGTCAGCGTCCAGCCTAATTATACAACATTGGAGGTTTTTTTTTTTTTTTGCACAGGCTTTTTATCCTCACAAAAGTTAAAGGCCTAATTGGGCTTCATGATTGCCCTGCCTGATTGGGTTGTCTAATTTGGCTACTCAATTAGGCTGTCTAATTTGGCTGTCTGATTGGGTTGTCTAATTTGGCTGGCTGATTGGTTTGTCTAATTGAGCTACCTAATTAGGCTACCTAATTAGGCTGTCTGATTGGGCTGTCTCATTGGACTGTCTGATTAGGCTGCCTGATTGGTTTGTCTAACTGGGATACCTAATTAGGCTGTCAGATTGGGCTTCCTGATTGGCCTGTCTAATTTGGCTGTCTGATTGGGATACCTAATTAGGGTGCCTGATTGTGTTATCTGATTGGGCTGTCAAGTCCGTAGAAAGTAACAGAAACAAGCCTTTTACCAATACTCTGGGATTACCCCTCACCCCTGTATGAATTCAAATCTGCTACTGACAGGTTGATGAGGCAGATGGCCCACCATTTTTCCAAAATGTGGAGTTTAAAAATTGAATCTTAAAAAAAAATTGAAATAAAGCAAATGTTCTAAGGGACATAAAGACTATGATTTTCCTCAAAATATCTGTTGAATGATATAAAAATAAAAGTATAAAAAAATGAAATAATTAACAAATTAAAATAGTGTTTTTTTAAATATAACTATGTCAGTTTTATAATACCTGTGAAGATTTTATTCTCAGCTATATCATAAGCCTGGACCATTCGTTCCCTTCTGATTTTATTCGGCTCTGCAACACCCACCACCTGTTGTGAATTATGTTTGCAAATTATTAAAAGATATTTAAGGGCTGGATGAAACCATCCTTAAATATTAGGCGCTTGCATTGTTAATATCACTGAAGTGAGTTGGTCAACAAACATTTCAGTCAATACTTGTGTGAAACTTCTTCAGGTAAACATTATCGATTTGGAAATTGTTGAGAGAGGTTTGTCTTAGGATTAAAGTTCTTCTATAGATTAAAACCAGAGATCAGCAACATTTTTTTTTTGTTGAGTGAGTAGCCATTTATATCTGCTAAGAAAATATTTTAAAAGCTGCAAGTCATCATGGAATATTTCTACAAAAGGAGCCAAATCTGTTCCTTTAAAGATCCAAATACTGCTCCTTAGCTGTGGCTTGCCAACCAATAGATTAAACTATAAATTTTCAAAAATCTTCTTACATTATTTAGAGTAACAATATCGAGTGTTCAATATGAAATATATTAATAATCAGCTCTGAGCTAAAAGTATGGCGATAAGTAAAAGGATAATGTCTTAGGGTCAGAAAAAGAGACCCTTGCAATAGCTTGGGGGTTCAATCTAGGGTAAAAAAACATCAATGAATTAGTTTTTCAGGGTTTGATGTCTGGGACATGTTTGCCATTAAACATCCTGTTATCCCCACAACTCACCTTCATATCCTGTGGATACAGTTTGGAGAAGACGGCATACCCACTACCTCTTGAGCCTGCTCCAATGACCAGGCAGGTGTGGGGTTCTTTGAGAAACACATGAAATGAAAGTATTTGTAATGTAATTAAAAGCTATTCAAATTGTTAAATAGTTATAGTTTTACAAAGGTCTTAATGAAATGGTACAATTTTTTTTTGTCAACTAATGTGAAGCCAGAACAAAGCCTTAAACCACAAGCGTTGCTCAAACAGTGATTTAGATTTATTTAATAAGCCTCAAAACACTTAGAGAGAATGCCAAATGACAGAGGAGTGAAGAGGGTGCAACACCAAAATGGCTCAAAGGCATACCTAGGCTTAGATGGATAGATGAAGTGGAAAAAGATCTACGGCAGCTGGGAATTCCAAGTATGGAAAAGACAAGCATTAGTTAGATCTGAGTGGAAGGAAGTGGTGAGGCAGGCCAAAGCCCTACATGGGCTGCAGCGACCACAGGGATGGATGGATTAAGCCTCGAATGTCAAAGATGGGTTAACACAGTTTCAAAAATAGGCTCCAAGTGAAATTCATTTCATGTGTCCAAATTTCATACAAAGAACAGATTCAAAATACTTACAATGTACATACTGCAGAAAAAGAAAGCATTTTTTACAGTTAGTAACACAAATAGAACAAACAATGGTACTAGATAGTGACAATAGGCCTGAAGAGGGTGGCGGCAGTGTTGTATGAAGGTAGAGGCGTAGCTAGAGTGTTTGGTAGCTAGAGTGTTTGGTAGCTAGAGTGTTTGGTAGCTAGAGTGTTTGGTAGCTAGAGTGTTTGGTAGCTAGAGTGTTTGGTAGCTAGATTGTTTGACGCCCGAAGCAAAGTTCATTTTAAAGAACCTCCCTATCTCTTTTCAACTCTCAAATCCATTATTTGTATCTATAAAATCATATCAAAGCACATTTTGGTGCCCCTTACTAGTCTTGCGCCCAGGGACATCTGCTCCCCCCCCCCCCCCTATGCCCCTGTGTGAAGAGAGGGGGGGGGGGCTGGCACTTTTTCTTCATATGGAGAGGCAGCGTTTTCAGTCCAATGTAGAATTTTTATATGAAATAAATCCATTATTTGTATCTATAAAATCATATCAAAGCACATTTTGGTGCCCCTTACTAGTCTTGCGCCCAGGGACATCTGCTCCCCCCCCCCCCGCTATGCCTCTGTGTGAAGAGAGTGGGGAGGAGCTGGCACTTTTTCTTCATATGGAGAGGCAGCGTTTTCAGTCCAATGTAGAATTTTTATATGAAAGGAGGCAGCAAAAATGTTTGCCCGCCCCAGGTGGCACTGACCCTAGCTACACCAAGTGGGGTGGGAGGGGGTGTTTGTGACTGTGGTGATATTCCAGAACAACTTGCAATATTTGTGTTGTCAATGCTGCAATGTTACCATGAAATCAATAGGCATAGGTCTAATGGGAACAATCTAACAATAATAGACTAGTGTAAGTGGACAGTAGACTATAGCTAAATTAGTATTTTAGTAATATAACTTTATAATCATTATATGTATATATATATATATATATATATATATCTATAACTTTAAGTATTATCCTACGATGCTGCCTATATCAGCCTATAATTTATAATATAAGAATGAGCCAGGGTAGATGGCTTAGGTTTATGCTCTGCTTCTTAAAAATTAAGTTAGAGATTTTCTATTATTTTAGTGAAATCTAATCAATTTCTATATGATAAAATATATCTGCTTTTATGCAAGTAAAGGCTATCTTTAATATGTAATATACATAAACTTCATATTTGTCATATAATAATAATTTTCTTTGTAGTTCTGGGGCGTGAAAAAAGGTTGCGTAGGCCTATATTATATAGAGGATAAACATTTCTCAAAACCCAGTGATGTTTATTAGAAAAGTAAAATTTTATTCATCTATGTCATAGATACTTCTTAACAAAAAAAAAACAAAAAAAACGAGGGAAAGTCTGATTTACTATTTACTAAATATAAATTTCAAGGGAATTGAAATTTTTTTTTTTGAGGATCAGATACAATATCTCAAAATCCATTACATTAAAGTAACAAAAGACATAAGTATAAGTAATTAGTAAAAACTAGTCTCTTTTGAGACTTTGCAATAATATTTAACAGTTAATACGAGGTAGTAAGTAACCCAATACTTTTTTTTAGCCCAGTATCAATAACACTGGGTCATATATTTTAATATAGGCCTTATTATAATTATAAATATATATAAGTAATTCCTTATAATTATATATGACACTATAACTTGCCTTCTTGTGGTGAGGATGTTTTTTTGCGGCTCAGAGACATATTGAAACGATTAATTTATTTTAAAAGAGCCAGGATGAGTAGTCCCAGTCCAGTAGTGGCTTGCAATACTTGTAGTTGTAGCTTTGACTTTAACTAACTAACAGTACTAACACTAGCACTAGCTTTGAACTTTGACTAAAACTAACTAAATAGCACAGTTCACATGAGTAACTGAGTAACTTGTTCAGTGAAAAAATTAGCCTAACAATTACAATGTTTACAATTTTAACTATAGGCCTCTCTATACTTTACTGTTGACTTTACTATTATTAATAATAGGTGAAGGTGTCTTAAGACTTGAGACTTGAGACAGAATGCAGCCTAAAACTGTAAAAAGTAAATACACTCTAAATACAGCCACAATCACATGTACAAGTCAATTTCACTAAACTAAAACTAATTCTACAACTTGTTAACGACAATAAATCACAATCACACAGAATAAACAATGAATGAATGTGTTCAAACAACACTACACTACACTGTAAAAACTGGTGACCCAAGCATTCTAATTTCTATTATAAATAAATATGAACTTATAATTTATAAATTATACTTGAAAGCCTACCATACTTTTTATCTTATTAAATAATCTTCTAACATCCGTAACATATTATCCTTTCTAATCAGCAGTACTAATGTGATGAGTAAAGCCTAAAGTTTAAAGAAAAGAAAAAAGACAGGTGTAAGTAGGGTCAGGGTAGGCCTACAATATTTTACAATAATAATAATACAATCTCTTACTCATATTTTAGCGCTCCTGTAGACTGTAATGTTAATGAGTAGGCCTACGAGATGTTAAAATTATAATATAGTATAAATGTGAGAATTGAGTATTAGTAATATTGTACGAATATCATTCAGATACCACAATTTTGTTTTGAAAGCATCTCGACATCCATTCCCAAGTCTTATCATAATATTGTTATTAAGTAGTCCTCCACAAACACAAGATGACTGGGGAAACCCAGAGGCGATGTTATGGTTGGCTTGCAGAAAAAAAAAAAAAAACAAAAGTAGGTCACGAGATCCAATAGGACAAAATTTCCCCAAATATCATATAAATAGGTTATTTTGTTTTTTTTTTTTTTTTTTTTTTTGGGGAAACCCAGAGGCGATTTTATGGTTGGATTGCAAAAAAAAAAAAAAAAAACATATGTAGGTCACGAGTTCCAATTGGTCAATATTTCCACCAATATCATTTGAGTGGGTTAGCTTGATTAATATAGCTTGTAGTTACTAGGATTGGGGATTTCTCTCCCAGGATCCGGCACGATTTTTAGTAAAAAGACTTCCAGGGAAATTTTCCAGCACAGGAAATCCAGTGCTCACTCTTTTAGAACGCAATACAATTTTCTTGTTTTTGTTTTTGTTTTTTTAAATTTCTGCAAGCAAGTGGTAAATTATCAATATACCAATAATAAGTCCAAGATCTGTAACTGTAACATCTAGTTAAATTTAAATGCGCTGAATTACCAACTGGAACTGTGCTCTGCGATGGTCTCCCATTCTTGGCTTCCCTCATGCTCCATTTGCAAACGTCCTTAAATCGCGGCCGTCCAATACTATAATATGTCTTGCCCCTTCTACCGACTGTCCATACAGCAGATCCTTTGGAATACGGCCTTCCCTTCGCTATTCTCCGTACATTTTTTTTAAGGCACTTCTTGCTAAGAGCAGTGAATTTATTGAATATGCTACACATTTTTGCACGTTCCAAGACCGCTGTATTAGGCACCTAATTAACCTTGTCCTGTCATCGAATATGTAAATTTTAAATTCAACGTAGATATCTTTGATAGAAGCTGTTGAGTTTCCACTCATGAATGGCATATGTGGTACACACTTCACTGCCCTGTAGAAACTAAGCACACAAGCCTGATAGACAATTAATTTTGTACAATCAGTTAGTTTAAGATTATTCCACACCCGCTTAAATTTAGCCATAGTTGGTGCTGCTTTTTGATATCCTGATATTTATCTCTTCATCAAAGGCAAAGGAGAGTGAATTAGGGATATTGGATCCATGGTATGTGAAATGTTCAACTACCCACAGATTATGGCCCTCAATAGATATGTTTGGAGGGGACGGTGCTTCTTGCATCATGACATTAAATTTGTTTTCTGTAGAATACTTGACAGTCTAAACTCTTTACATGCGTGCGAAAGGCAATTAACTAGTTGCTGAAGACCTTCTGCTTTGTGTGATGTTAAAAGGCGGCATTGTCACCAAACAGCAGTTCGCGATTTAGTACTTTTGTTTTTCCTTGGCCTTTGCACGAAGGCGGCGATATTGAACAGCTTACCACCAGATCTGGTAAGGATGTACAAACTGTCTTCACAGTCCCTGATGAAAAAGCGTCCAGAAGAAAATGGAGAAGAGCATTGGTGCCAGTACGCAACCTTATTTTACTACGATGCGGACAGGGAATGCCTCAAGACCGCCCCATTGAAGGTTATTGTGCTGTGCATGTTTTTGTGAAAAGTCGAATGCCTTGGTCAGATCTATGAAAGCAACGTAAAGAGGCCTAAGCTGTTCACAACACTTCTCCTGCAATTGGCATAACGCGAATATCATTTCTATAGTTGAACGACCACTTTGAAAGCCACACTGGGCCTCTTGGTAGATGCGATTAGCCAGGCTCTGCAATCATTTAAGGGCAATATGGGCACATGTGTTTCCAACTAAGCAAAGAAGAGAAATTTATCTGTAATTATTACAATCACTACGGTCACCTTTATTTTTGTACAATGTTAAGACTATATAGATTACAGGGGCAAAACTTAGCTGTGGGCAATGCATACCCTCAGGGGCGCCACAACCAAAATGAAATTATGTTTATGAATAGCTGAGGCGACAGATTCAGAGCTGCCCCAGGGCGACGATATGCCTAATTTTGGCACTGATATTTGCACTGCTTCCGCACACCCCCCCCCCCCCCCCCCACAAACCACCACCACCACATGTGAATCAGTTCCTGATGAAACTGCTGAAAGAAAACTAGAAGATTAAGCATGGGGCAAACTGGGCCCAAAATACTTACCTAACATTATGCTACTTCAATGGGTTAGAGAGAAATATGAGGCCTCAGTCAATGAGTCAGTGCTTCACTTAGTGCATGAGTATGCGCATTTCTTTGCCCAGGGCCCCTGAAATAAGATGGCAATTACACACCCCCAGCCGCGAGACATGGTTTATGGGTGGCCCCTAAGCACTATAAAAATTATGAAATTTTAAATAGAACAGATTTCCTGCCTTTTATTTTTAGATGCACATTCACATGACATACCAGATAGTGCCAGAGGTGTAGCGAGGGTGTTTGGTGCCCAGGGACAAGATACGCGCCCGGGGACAAGATCCATTTTAAAGCGCCCCTTTTTCTTTTTTTCAACTCTCAAACCCATTATTTTTACCAATAATATAATATCAAAGCACATTTTGGCGCCCCTAAATAGCTTGCGCCAGGGGACATCTGTCCTCCCCTGCCACCCCCTCGCTACGCCTCTGGATAGTGCCGGTAGCCGTATATGCCGTATCAATCATGCGTAATGACCGTAGCCGTAGCCATTTGGTATTCAGTATTCGTATTAATTTATGACGTATTTTAAGTTAACTATTATGATAATTATGTCTTGCACTTTAACTTTAGTCTCTTTAGTCAATGACATAGGACTTTTTAAACTTAGGTTTTATGTAGGAATTAACTATGTAAGCATACATCCATCTGATTTTTAAATATTATTCATGAACATGAAATTTTGTTTATGTTTATGACTTCTCACTTAATTAAAGTTTAAGTTTGTTTGTTTTTGTTTTTTAAATTGTTATTGAAACTCTTGTGTGTCGTCTGCTAGTAATTCAAGGGGGACCACTCTATTTAAATCACATGACCCACAAAAATGATTGTTCTTTTAACTGGGGTGGTAAAATTAAGGTCATAAATCCGTATATTTAGCATAATTCTCAAAATGTTGCAGAAAGAATAGGCTTATATGGCTGTTTATCATTTCCGGCGTTGCGCTTTTCCTGGAAAAGGGGGATAAAAGTGACTCTCACCCCTGAATCCCTCGATTTTCAGGGATGAAACTAATTCTCTAAAAAGATATAATATAAACATAACTAAATAAGGAAAGATTGGATTTTTATTACTGCTTAATTTTTACGGTATTTTCAATTTAAGTAGTAAGGTAATAACCACCCCCCACCCCCCAAATAAATACCATGACATTTTCTAATGTAAAACTAGGATATTTAAAATATGTTTGCGCCATTTGTGTCCAAATAAAAATAATAATTTGTCACTGAAAAGATATCTCTTCTGTCAGTGAGTCTAATTCGTCACTGACGAAGCCCTTGTAGCTTATAGAATGTTGTCTAAGAGCAGTTCCCCTTCATAATGCAACAGAAAACAATGTAAGAGTCTAGAACTCCGTTGCTGTCTTACAAGCCCCTACAAGACTGATGTGTTGTGACAAGTCAAATAATTACGAGATTGGTTAAAAGATTCAGTATTCTTAAATATTATGTGTAAAACACATTCCACCTCAATGCCAAACCAGTAATAACTGGCTTTCAAATAAAAAAAAAATAGAAAAAAAGAACCTCATCAACAATACTAAGATGCACACACCTCATCAAAATTCTAACTCACACCTATACCAAAACGCAATGCTTTCTGGCGATCACAAAATTGTACACACTTTTTTTACCCATGTGATTTTTTTTCCAACAAACACACTGCCACGGTCATACGTCGTACGTGACTAAGTAAAATTCTTGTGATTAAATGGGGAAATAACGAAGGGGTAAAAACACCATCCTGGTATAATCAAGTTGCCCTAGCACAATTTTTTAGCCCAGGGAATGCGACCTAAAAAATATGTCTGTAATGAGGTGTCTGTACTGTAATGGAGTGTCTGTAACTTGGTGTCTTAAACTCTGAGTTACGATTTCAATCACGGCTTTTTGTTTATTGTTAATAAGATATAAAAAGTCGTTTTAATGTGTTTTTATTTCCAAGAATTTTTCCGATGAAAAATGTTTTCCCACGGAAATTTTACTTTTACAACTTCACCTACTACTTAATAAGCTGGCTATAAAACCCACGTCAAGACAGTCTTTAGCGAATCACAAAACGAAAAACATTTCCCATTGTTTCTTGCAAAGTTGTATTTACTATGCGCTTCCTTAAATTAAGAAGATTACAAACTCATTTTAAAAAAAAATAAAACAACAAAACAAAAATATTTGCTTTAAGACGTGACAGCCCGCAGGGTTAAAGTAACTTTTTTAAAAAAGGATACTGTAGTAGGGACTGCGGCATCATAATTGCCAACCTGTACCGTATCCGGAAATATGTTTGAAAGAAATTTCGTTGACGGAAAATTGATAGATGGAAGTTTTATTGAACGGAAGTCTAAGTTTGGTAGAACGGAACTTTGGTTGATTTTTTTTTTTCAGTTCACACAATCAAAGTTTGCGTCAAATTTCTTGTTTGAACGCATTATTTTTGTGTTAAAATTCTGCCATTTTTGTTTCAATACAATTGCTATTGAGCAGAGTTAAAAAAAAACAAAAACAAAAACGTAGACTTTAACACAAAATCGGACTTACCTTTAAAGATTCTAGTTTCAGTTGAAAAATGTGATATGTCCATTTATGAATGATATATACATGATTAAATGTGTGTGCAGCAAACGGTAAACTATTCATTTTTTAATTAGTGCATTCAAAGAATTGATAAATATTTTACAGTTTTGGGGAATTTTCTACCGTTTTTGTGTGTCCAAAGGTTGGCGTTCAAGCTGTATGAATGAAATATTATGAACACTGTTTGCTTGAAAATCAAACACAGAAAACTAAAAATATTTTTTGGCTGAATGTTGTCATTGGCAAGCACTTAAAAAAAAGAGAATGAGAAAATGTTAATTAGGTTATAATT